ATAATCCTCCAGCACATTTCCACAGTGCCTCCAGGTTTGCAGGGCTGTTTTCAGCTGATGTTAATGGACAGGCAAGTAACAGATGATGCTGTAACATGGTACAGCCCCTTCAACATCACACAAGCCAAAATGCAGTCAGGCAGTGCTAATAGGCCAGGGAAAAGCAGAGGAACAGAGGTGTGGGTCCTGAGATTTCCCTGTAAGGGTGCAGCAGATGTACCTTATCCATACTTCCCGAGATCTTTATGATGAATACATACACTTCAGCATTTCCCTTCCGATCTTTTAATCAATGGATTTATTTAGATCTTCATCTTTATTCCCCAGCTGTCCCCACAAGCTTTAGCTTTCATTTCTTAAAAAGATATTTAACAGAGAATTTGCATAGATCAGCCACTCCCTACATTAGTACGTTTACAAAAAGAACAGTTTAAGGTACTGTTCTTTCATTATCAGTTCTTCTTGTTGCACTTCCCTTTTTCTCACTGCCTTTCCTTTCCTCTTGCCAGATTTATCTTTAAAATGCCATTTAAAGGCACTAATTTTGTTTCAAGTATGTACAGTGCTACAACTAGGAAGAATTTGAGATAAACTGTACCCAAACAACTCAGTTGCAAGCTTCAAGTTTCCTGACAGCTGAACGCAAAGTAAAAGCTAGGCATTAAGGGTCTATAATAATTTAGGATCTTTTGGGGAAATATTCTGACAATTCTCTTCCATGGTAGGATCTATTCCACTTCCTTAACACTTCTGAAGTAGTTTGGAGCTCTGCACTGTGAGGGATGACCTTTCTAATCATCCAGAACAAGGAGGTCCAAAACAAACCATGCTCCTTGTTCTCACAGATCCCATGCAAATACATGGATCAAAACCCAACTCTTTTACCAGACAGCACTCCATCTAATACATACTGTTTTACAAACTCACATATATGCTGTAATATCCAGATACCACAGAGATAGATACAGGACTTGCACTGTATGCCAAGCAGATCAATCTCATAGCATTTACTTAGGTCTGCTGCAACCAGCCCATGCATCACTCCTTACCCCTAGACAGCTTCAACCTGTTCTTTATCCCATCTGAGCTTCATTTGGTTCATACAGAAGCAGAACTCCTAAAAAAGCAGCTTTGACAAAGCAGAGAGGACTAGATAACAGGGAGAAACAAAGCTCAACCCTTCAGGTACCCAGTTCTCAGTACACTACTGCAGCACATCTTGTCTCAGGGACCCCAGCATGGTCACTGGGTACTTACAAAGCCACTCCAGCTTTGGTTCAAGTCTGAGAATGAAGGGGAAGCAGAAAACTAGAAGAACGATGGAAGTGAAAAACAAATAAAGGAATAATATGCTCTATCAATGTAGCATGATACATATCCTGCCATGTTCTCTCACTTTTAACTTGTTATAGGTGGCATTGAAACATCTAGGTTTGATAAGATAGGCTATATTGCAATATGTAAGCGTCTGAGGTAGCTTAACTAAGTAAAATTAAAAAGCAGGGTCTCTTCTGTGTTCCTGTAGGCTGCACATAGGAGGCTTCAGCCTGGTATGAAAGCTTATCACTTAGCACATTGGCATATTCCTTCTCAGAAAATGCATGGCAAAGCTTAAATTTTTCAGAGCTAGAGGAAGGACACTGGGGGACTATCAGCACTTACGCAATTTGGTCTATATTTTTACAACAACATGGCAGAGTTCATGCTATAGGGTACAGTTGTCAGACAGATAAACAACCTGGATTTAAGAACCTTAAGAATCTGATCAGTGGTGGAGAATTTGGTAAAAGGCTATTAAATTATTCTAATTGTTTTAAATATCACAGCATTGCCAAGACACTGTTTAGAATCTCTCAAGCAACACTTCAAACTGTGAACTTGGGACGGAAGACCTCTATATCTAGAATAGCACTGGAGTATTCATAAAAGCTTTCAATAGGGGAGGGGAAAAAAAAGAAAAAAAGAAAAAGCAAAGTTACATAGCATTTATAGAACTGTGCAGGGAAAAGTAAATACTTCACCCACTTCCTTTGTTTGACTTGAGTAGCTACAATCACACAGGTATTTTCAAACAAGAACGTAAAAGGCTGTTCTGCAGTGTTCTGGGACACTTTGAAAGCGGTAGTATTGCCACATCTCACATTTTAAGACTGATGCCTTGAGAACAGCATTAGAAAATTCTTTCAAGTACCTCATTGTTTTGAAAGAGAGCTACAAAAACGCCAATGTTTTAACTCAGATTTTATCAGCTCTGAAAATACTGACTCAACTATTGATCTTTTAGCCTGAGCTATTCTGAGGGAAGGTATGAAAAACCCATATGGATTTATTTAGCTTTGGTCTCCAAAATCGAGTACTGTATCTGTATATATAATGACATATTTAGTATTATATTACAAAAGGCTACATACTTGAAAAACAAGTCCTACGACCAAGTGATAGAAATACCGCTGATGCACTAGTTGTACTAAAGATCACTAAACCAGCACTGTTTACCTGAAATAAAAAAGATGTTTACTGATGTAATACTTGGGATTTTTACAACTAGAAGTCTGAAGAAAACTTACTTTCAAGTGCTTTGCTCAAGGATCAGTTTCATTAACTGCTTGCTGCTGTATCACAAGATATGCAGCTCCAGATCAAACACTTCTCTCGGGTGATGGTATATTTTAGAACCAGAACACATCAGTAATTATGGCATCTTTCTCAACACAGAACTAGCATGACTTTGTAAATTATTGTTACAGATCCAAAATAAGTCCTAAAATCCCAGCATTACACTGCCACACTATGGCACAATTAAGATCTGCAAGCAAGAATAGAACAAGATGACAATAAAAATTAATTATTTAGGACTAAGCATCCATCATTAATTTTGTTTGCCTACTACATTTGTAAAGCACTAAAACGGAGCTGTTATGTCTTGTTAATCAACAGCTAGCTAAGTACATTATGCTTGAGGATTTTATTTTTGTATTTTTGTTTTCCAAAATGAAAAAAGAGAAAGTTTACTATCTCCAAGTGTTAAAATCTTCAAAGACTAGTTTGATATGCCTGTTGCACAGATGGGATATGTAGGGAAGTGGATACCAAGGGCATCTTCTCTGCTGGCTACAAATTATAGAGCTTTTTGTTCTCTGCATTACAATGTGATCTGAAAGGTCTTCAGTTGACAGCCAGCCCGAGGAAAGAAAGGTTCAAATGACCTTCGTCAAGTTTTGGGTTGTTTTTTTTAACTATTTGTGGTAATGCTACAAGATTTTAGAATCTACATTATTTCTTTATGTCAAGATATAACTCATTTCAGACCTAGAAATATTTCAAAATACTTAGTATTTCCACATTTTTACTACTAAGTTTTGTAAGACATTTAAAAAATACCCCAAAACCCTGAGACAAATATTTTTGCTGACCTTGAAGCACAGCAACCCAAGATGGCTGAAATTTCACATCTAACTTTTTAACTACAGCAGATCACTGTACAAAGCATACATTATTTTAATTACTTTGCCATTTATATAATTTATACCTTCCATAGCATTTGTTTTGCAAGAAAGCTATAAATCAATTTTGTATGACCATTACCAGTACTGCTTTATTCATTCTAACATTCCATTTTTTAAGTGTTTTGCTAATAAATCAAACGTTATACATAAGCAATTGGCTGAGGCCAAGACCACACCAATTATTTTACCTGCAAGAACTCGCCATTATAAACATTTCCCACAAGGCATAATAAAACACGTCTGGTGCCACAAGACTTACAGGAATATCCTGTACTGAAGCATTAAATAAAGATGACTAGCTGGGGTTTCATTTGTTCCACCCCTTCCTTAATTACTATTGTCACCACTTCAGTTTACAAAAACTAGCATAGCCTAGATGCATGCCAGTCTTTTCCCGTTAGGATTCAAGCTTTTAAAAAAAATCACAAATTAAGTATCTTTTGTCTCCAAACACTTTCAGGCACAAATTACTTAAACTATCAATGAACGCTGTTTTCTCTTTTGTACATTACCTGTTTCTAAGCCACATGCACATACACTTTCATACAATTTTTGTTATTAGGCCTCTGCTTTCAATCATCACACAATTCCTGTAAAATTTTTTACTGCCTTTATTCAAAGCACAAGCCACCATTTTATACGTAGGATTCTACCTCCTCCTAATAGTCAAGATGTATAAACAGCAAACTGTGAACATTATAGTCTTCTAGCAAAATCGGCTCCAGAGCCTCACAAGCAAATCTGAAGTTCTCATGAGTGTTCCTGAACTGACTGGGACAGGATGAGTCCAAGCAAATTCAGTACTCACACCTGGTAGCAAAACTGCAGACTGCCACCCAGGACTTATGGTTTTTGGAAGCTCTTTAGAAGGAAAGAAATTTAGTAAACTTGAGTGATACTGAAATTTATGGAGACTGCATTCTTAGCAGTTTTAGTGTTTAGCAGTTGCCTAAGAGTCATGCTGAAGTGCACGAGGAAACAGAAAACAAATGCCATATTTGCAACTCCCCCCCAAAATCAAACAGCAAATTCTGTAAATGTTGGTCTTTAACTGTACCCAAAGATTTAGCAGCAGATCCTGCAGCATTTCTTTTACTCTGTACTTTCATTTGCAAAAATAAGTTTTCCCTTCCCCAGCTGACAGTAGTCATATCTTCCTGTGTTTAGGCATTCAGGCATCACAGCTAAGTATTTAAAACCAGATAACCTGCTTTAAATTTATATTATTTAAATTAGAAAGCTTTAGGCTGAAGTTAAATAGACTACTGAAAAATGATGTTTCTTAGTACTGTATCTTTCCTCACAGCCCACTCTGTGAAGGATACTGTATTCCGTATCAGATTAATTGGACTCCTGTCACATGGAAAAGATTAGTTATGATAAATTGCATCCTTAGTGCTGCTGAAATTTGTCTTCCTTGGAAGAATTAAAACTATGCTTCACTGTCATTCATCAGGCATCCCCCCTTCCAGGAAACTACAGGAAATTTCATACCTTCCTGAACTTTTCCATCTGCTTATAAAGATCTGGATCCAGCTCCTGAGACACATCCTTCATCCAGAGTAGAGCTCCTCTATATTCAGTCCGATATTGTTCCATTCGGTTTACTGTCAGAGAAGTGTCTGATATAGCCCTGTATCTGAAAGTCTCCACTTCTTGGTATAATCTACTTAAAGGAGTACGCAGTGCTAATCTGAAGGAAGGCATGGAGGAAAGAAAGGAAGGAGAAGAACATGTCAAAAGAGTTGTTCCACAAAAGCAGACAGATTAATACAACCACTGACACTTTAGTAGCAATCAAAAAACCATGCACTGCCAAAATAGTTCACTTAAGTGTAGCGCATGTTTGGATGGTTCTACAGCTTGGTTGGGGGTACATATGAATGGATTAATTTTGCATGAATACTGTGTTCGTCATCTTCCTGTTCAAGTAGTGACTTTTTGCTTACATATGCAAGTAGACATGGAACCTTTTCTAATGCATATCCATATTTTAGTTAGCCAAGCTGCTTGTGTGTACGCTATTATCATTCCTCTTCACAAGTTGGATTTAACAACTCTAACAATGTACCTGAGGTAACTATTACTGGATACATACCACAGATGTATCAGTATTGCCATGTTAAGCCTCACAAAAAGCACTTTCTTTAGCCTTTTAATCTTCAAATGTAAAGGTAAATAAAGAAGTCATCGGTCAAATACATGATGATCTCTTTTTTTTTTTTTTTTTTTTTTTAAAGGAATCTGAACAATTCCTTTGAAGGACATTCAACTTGCGGAAGGGTTTAGGCATTTTCTTAAACATTTCTTCCAGCAAACACACTTTGGAAAGGCAGTAGGGGACACTGTTGTCTTCCCTATGTCATCACTTTGGCTCCTAATGGGATCTCAAAACTAAATAGGACTACTTTTGCTTTGCTTCCTCCTGCTGGTTCTGCTTTCTTCTTGGTTGCCAGCAGCCACCTCACTGAAATGGGTTCAATCAGTTCCACAGCACTGCCGAGTCAGTTTAATGCGCTACTTAGCGACTTCCTAGGCATACGAGAATTTCTAATTTCAGCTCCAGTAACCAGCAAATTGTGTCTTCTTGATCTCCAACTACTGAGCTAGCTATTTGCATACAACACAAGAGCAGACCAAGTTCAACATGACCTTGGGGATGGCTCAAGAAGAGAAGCCAGACAAACAACTGGTTCTATTTTTATGTGAGTTCATTTTAAAAGTTGCTTTAAAAATGCATTAAGTGAGAGATACAATAAAATGTGAGCTTGTTAGTGTACTCCAGCCCTCCTCCCCTCCCCAGTTTTTTCTCATTCTACAAATACTTACCCAGCCATTGAAAGTAAAACTCAGTTTATGTAGACATGTCATACACTGGGATTTCTATAAACAGTTAGACTTTATAAAGAAGGAAATCATCAGTGCTTTTGCTTAAAGGTGCCTTACATGTGTTTTAAAGATACCACTCATAGCTGTTACTGGATGTGCTAATGATCAAACTCTAACCCAAGATAAACATATGAAATTCTCAGTGTTCTGTATGCAATGTTTTATTTTGAGCCAAACAGCTGCACTATTAAGCTAAAGCTGGAAAGTCTCACAGTAGTTAAGAGCCCCCAAAATTCCTGTAAAATATCACAGAATAGAATTTTCCATTGCAAATGATGGTGAATTTCAAATTTTCATAGTCCCAATACTGTTAAAAAAAAAAGGAAAAGAAAAAAAAACCACCATAGTACTAATCAGTTATTGTTACTTATAAACTCTTTGAGCAAACACAGGGTCAGTGAGACATCAAGGGCTCTGGGAAACAGACGTGTTTGTGTATATGTGTGTCTCTCTAGATTCTTCACCTCTTACTGATTTGTTCCTACCCAACCTACATGAGCTCAGTGGGGATCTAAGACCTTCTCATGTTAAGGTTGCAGCAGAAACTGGCATCCTGACTCCTCCTTTCTCCTCTATCTACTTGAGGTATATGAGACTCCATGGCCCAGAAGAAGGCATTTCCTTACCCATTTCCCTGCCCTCCCAGGACCCAGACACCTCCACAGTGAGTCTGCTGTAGCATTTCTCTGCAGAGTAAGAGTGATGCAAAGCAGAAGAGGGACCTGACATGAGTGCCTTTACAAGCCCACTCCTAGCGAGGTGGTGCAGATACACCTGTACAGCTTCCTGAACTGCTTTGCTGTACAAGGCGCAAGCAGGGGATCTGGAGATACACAGATAACATAGCAGGTCCATAAGACAAAAAACAGGATCAGGCAAAACTACACAGAGCAAGCCAGTAATATTGCAAATACTACAGCAAGCTTGGTCAATAATAACTTTCTTATAATTTGGTTCCTCACACATTTCAAATGGCAAAATGAATTACGCCAATGGTGAATCAACTACAATTATCCCACATACTCTGTAAATCAGACAGCAATTCTGACACATATACCTTTGCTGAGAAGAAAAGCAGAGGGCCTTTCCTGTGGCTTGCATCATTTTTCCTGCTCTCGTTTTATCCTGAGAGCCCTGCAATCGAAGAAACTTCCCCAATTCATTTTCTTCCTGAGAAAGAACTAACGAAAAATAAATGAGTGGTCAAACATGTTATTTAATAGGTTCCTAATAGCTTTAAAACTGGCTTAACATCAGCTAGCCTAAGTCCCTCTAAATCCAAGCAGCACAGCAAAAACGTAATTTCACAGAATTTCTGCATTTAGTAAACAGAAGATCTGCATCACTTGACACATTTGCTGATATATTTTAGAATCACAAAATTCTATCAGTGCTAAAAGACAACAGGAAAAACAAGAAACATGCTATTAGTTTCTTGAATAAAAATATTAGGTTGGTTAGATTACACAAAGGTCTCAATCTTGACTAAAGTATCTTTTAGTCATGGGTTTTAAGACTTGTTCGGCTTGGGGTTTTTATTTTTCTTTTTTTATCATCATTATTATTTGGTTGGTTGTTTTGGGGGGGATTTTTAGTCATATTTTACCACCTACACTGCCTCAGCTGATTTTTGGTAGCATACTTTCTCTGAAGATAATTCCGAGTTATACTACCCAAAGCTTGTTCACTTCCTTTTCCCTTGCTCTCCATTTTTCATGCTTGACTACAGAAATGAATTTTTCATATGAAAAATCTAGTAAAAGAACATTAATTTTCAAATTACTTTGCAAGATTATTTTACAACTTTAACATTTTACACAATCCAAACACTATTTTAAAATTATATGTCAACTATCTGAAATATTTCTATTTCAAATAAAGTGATTCTTTTTTGAACTAGAAGATGACACTGAACTGTTGAGTACTTCCAAGCTGGAACAATGGGTCTTCATGATCTCACATCCTTACAAAAACATTTCATTATGGTCTCATCTACTAGTCTTCCAAGGTAGTTGTTTCTTAAAGTTCCAATTTCTTCCCACTATGAATGGCCTAATACAATGAAAAAAAGATTCCTTGAAGTCCTCAATCTTTTTCCAAATGTTGGCAGTCAAATCCAATGCAGACTCACAGCATACTCTGGTAGAATGTGCTGCATCCACATCTTTGTGTCAAGAGATTTCATCTACTACTCTGGAACACTTCTTGAAGTAAGTACACTACTATTCTGTATTCTAATTTTACCTCCAGATCCCGAAACATTATCTCTTTGGACAGACAAAAGACCCAAGAAAATATGAACAACATTCCACAGAAGAAAGTAAATTGAAAGCTATCTCCAAAGTTGGATTCTCTTTTCCAGGCCAGAAATCACAGCAGTAGAGACCAAACAATACTGATTGCAGAGAACATTTAGAGGTCATTTAATACAATCTGCTGCTTGAAACTTCTTATAGGAGGACCCTGTCTCCTCCCAATAACTGCCACTAATTACTATACACCTGCTACAGCCAAGTCAGCATTATCAAATTCATCATAATAGCATGGATTACTTAATTATAAAACTAATAAGCCCAATAGTCTTCATAGTCAATACTGATTAAAAAAAAAGATTCCATAATGCAGACCTACTTATTTTAACTACTATATTCGACCATACTTACAACAAATCCGTTTTTGATACAGTTCAATTGCTTTCAGCAGCTCCATACACGTTCTCTGAATAGAATGGAACAGCTGATATTGAAACAAAGTACACAAAAAAATTTGTAAGCATATACAAGAAACACCGACGATTCAAATACAAAAGAAAGCTTAATTTTTGTAGAAACTATTAGGACCACTATTTTCTTCTTGAACAATGAGTAATTTTTCCAGAGTGAAAGTAATTTTTCCTTATCAACTGTGTTTTCCTTTCAATTAAGCTGTCCACTGAAACTACAGACAGACCTATCGTAACTTATGAAAGGAAAACAAAGACAAAAATAATTTTGGAAACAGATCTATTATAAATAGCTGATAGTTAACCAAACTACTCATGTTGGAGTTTTTCTAATTGATATATTTGCATACATATGAAGGTGTAGTACAAATCTTTGTTTCTAAAAAAACTCATAATAGAATAAAATGTTATCAAAATTTGTATCATGTTTATCATGCGTAGTAATATGCATACTGAATTTTTAATACTACAAAGTCTAGTGGAACAAACTTGCACCGGTATTCCAACATAGGAAATTACAGATTTAAACTGAAATTTTACTGGCATAGCTCTAGTTTTCTAACCAAATTTATAAAGTAGCATTTTCCATAGGAAGGGGGGAAGGAGGGGGGAAAGTCAGTCTTGACTAAATTTGGGGATTGTTTCTAGGAAATAGAAAAAATACTACTCTTTCTGTCTGTCCACCTAAAATCTCCAACCTGCAACTTAAACCTCACCCCTGGTGTATCAAGCACTGCACAAATATATGCAAAATGGACTTGTGGCACAGGAACTGTCTTTCTTCACGCTTGACTTCGTGTACTTTTACAGGAGTCTTTTAGACTGTGTTACTTGCAGTTGAGAAGTTGCTAAAATGAAAACATGCTTATAGTTTTGTATCTGGTAAACGCAACTCTCCCAATTTCGAATCCCACCTGAGCTAATTAAGCATCCTTTTTGATGAACCTGCAACACAATAAGCATGGTAAGGACTCAGGTATGTTTTTATAAGATATTATTACAGCCTTCCAGCTTGTTTTAAATCAATGCTCTTGATTTATAACCCATCATGAAGAGCCCATAGATAGAATCATCACATTATAAGTTATCACTATATAGCTAACACTACAAAGATTTGTTTGTTGTAAACCAGCCTCTTGTATTTCAGCTAAAATGTGAATAAACTGAGAATCTTAAGTCAACAATTTTCTACAAAATTGCAAGAAAACCAGTAAGGCAAAACCTTCCTCCTTATATAACAAAACAATAGAGACAAAATGTAGCTGGACACTAACTTGATTATCACACTTTGGAAGTCCATTCTCTGTTTCGCTTTGTGTCAAAGACAATCAAGCTCTTCAATTTGTAGAGCCTCAATTTTTTTTTTTCCAGTGGGGTTGAACATACTGACAGTAGAGCTGTATTTCTCACACAGCAGGATTCCTTCTCTTGGTGACACTTCACAGACTTTCAGAAGCTTCTTGGGTCATGTCAGAACCCACCTATCTGCACAAAAGCTCCAGAGAGCAGGCCACATTATGCACCTTGCTCCTTCTTGGCATACTGTATGTTTTTCCCTGCAGTGGTATTTTATAACTGTAAAAAGAATATAATTTGTATATACTAAAGAATACTATTTAAAAAAAAAAATTCTTGAACTGATATAAGCAAAGGATAAGAATGATTAATATAAGTACAAATGACCATCTCCTGCTCTCCCCTAACAACAAAAGGACCAAAACCTGAAAATATGCATCAGGGATATTTGTTTCCAAATAAGGTCTGAGGGACGTGAGTTTGTGTGTTAGAAAATGCCACTATGTTCCCCATATTTACATAGGTACTTTTGTAAAAAATTGGAAAATATATTACGAGAAAGTAATTATATGACTGTATATACACTATTATATACTAGGTGTACACATATTAGAAGCTTGATGGAAATGAACACATTTTAAGAATTAACAAAGAATACACATTATGTAAATATTACAAACCTCAAGTTTTGCATCCAGATCTGCATCTGAAGCCACAACATGTTCATCTTCTTTTTTTCCTGTAACTTTTATAAGGGTTTGCTTTGTTTTCCAGTATTTTTGTTGCATTTTATTGACCACAGATTTTTCTTGACTTTGAGCATATTGGTCATAAAATTCCCTTGGATAATTGCTAGAATATTAAGAAACAAAATTACAAAGCTTCAATAAGATGCTTAAAAAAATAAATCTAACATGCTAGATTAATACATTTCTATCAAGAATATTGCATTTGCATGCAAACATGTACCTTCTAACATGCGTTTCCTCATTATGCATTGACAACAAAGCAATTAAATTAGTACATTAACTTTCCCATCCTACTTTGGAAAATAACAGACTACTTTCAATTTGAATGTCTTTAGCATGTACTTCAGCAGTATCACCAAATAATCAGCTACAAAGAATTCTTCCCAATGCATTATGGAATAATTTATAGCCCATGGAATCAAATTTTTATTTTTATAACTAATAGGAGAGATTCAAGTGAACTAGTGGAGTTGCTTAGGCAGCAATTTCATGCAAATTCAGCAGTGTTGGTACTTCTAAAAGTTCATTTTATGAATGGAATTAGATTACTTCTTGCCCTCCCTTTTTTACAATTGAATAATAAAGACTTAGAAGAGCACTCATCTCTTTCGAGCATGCTACGTGAAAGGTAGGTCGCTCACGACTCCTTTTATGCATGCAATGACTACATGACAGCTGTGGGTGCATATATATGTAATCTTTTTTCAAGGATTATTTTCTACTGACAGATGACTCCGCATTCCTGTAGCAGACCAGCAGAATAAAAAGTGTGATCGAAAGACAAACTCCCTATCCCACAATATTTAAACCACAACAAGATGGCTTAATAGAAAATATAGCTTTACCATGAAATCTCTCTCAGCAAGTGTTATTCCATAATTAACTTTTGCAAAAGTACATGCCTTTTCCCCTACTTGTATATATAAAAAGCTGCAGTAATTTTGCAGATCTTTAGAAGTAAAAGGTTGCTAGGACTTGCTATATTAAATATTCCAGGAAGATAAAAAAGCTTGAGTTTATTTTGAAAAAAATAAAGAGACCTCCACCTGTTGAGTGACAAACTGTGGTTCACTACTGAGATACTGCCCACTAACTCTGTTCGCAACGCACAGACAGCTCAGGGATGCTATCCCAAGAGGTCTTCAGACCGAATATACACATTGGTACTACACATGTATTGAGACACACAGGTATGTGTATATATATGTGTATTGCTTGCTGTGAATAATATGGTCATTCTGAAACAAACCATTGGTACACGTTCCCCAAAAGGGTGGCAAATCTGCTCTGTATAGTTACTCGTGAAACAGTTTAAGCTGAAAAGGAAATCTGTCTCATGGGGATTTGTTACTTCCTTTAGTTGTTTTTTAATCAGTTTTAGGACACAATGCCTTAATCACAGAAGAAATTAAACTGGAAGTGAGCAAGGACAAGATTCAAAATGCACTTATATACAGCAACTCTTGACTTCTTCCCCAAACTTTGAAAGCAAAGATATTTACCTATTTAATTCTACACAGACATTAGTTTCAAAAGTTTAATTTATTAATTTCATTAAAGGTTATTTTGGTGCTACAGAACAATATAAACAACATACGCCAACCATACCACATTTCATGCGAAATTCTACACAAACCAAACTTTAACTGCTCTTACAACAGCTTATCAAGTTAGGTGAAGCCTATAATGACCTAACATATGCTGTATGACATATACTTTCAAATATGAAATCTACAACCTCTAATAAATAACAAGAAGATCCCCCTGGATTTTGTGAGAACAGAATGTGAGAGTTTAATAAAAATATCATTACTTTAAAAATAATAATAAAAAAATAAAAATCAAACTGCTCATAAGATAGCATAAGGACCCCAGCTGCCCAGCTAGTTGTGTGCTTTAACTTCTGCTACAGCTGTGCAAATAACCAGTATCTCAGTTCAGTGGTCAAACGAAGAAAACACCATAATTTATCTGATGCCAAACAGCCTCAATAACTACCTCACCTGAGCTCACTAGAAATTCTGGGGACATGGTACAAGGAGTAAATATTAGTTCTTAATATGAGGTCCCCCCCCAAAATTAACAATGCTGGGATTAATAGATTCCTGAATTAGAGAGTGACAAATCAATTGAAGAGATAAGAGAAATACAATCATAGCATGATTTGGGTTGGAACGGACCTTAAACATCATCTAGTTCCAACCCCAATAATCTTTTGCCAATATACACAAATTACGCTTCTAATTTCATCTGGAGAATTTAATGGCTCCTGTTTATACTTAAGACAGTGAAAGATTTACAATCCCATTACTGAAGTATTTGGTAGCAATTTTTACTGGTAGATAATTATCAATACTTTTTAATATGGATTTTGTGTCAAGCAATCATGGACATATTTAGGTTTTGTTGAACAATCAGAACATGAAACTAAAAGAAGGATGTACTTGATTGTGAAATTGACAACCACGGATAAACCTTTTGAAATACGACAGTTCATACACCTATTCTATTAAAACAAGAAATCAGTAATGTGCTATTTTTCTCTCTAGTCAATTTACTTGTTTTTCCATTCTTTGGCAGTCTTTCATCTTTTATTTTTATTCTTTTTAAACGGAATGTCTACCAATGACTTCACATAATACTAGATGCTAGAACATGATGTGTGATGAACTCAGGCTGTGACGGATCAACATGCCAAACACCATTAGCTCTCCAGAATAAGAAAAAATTATCAAGGTACTTACTACTTATGACCTTCCATGTTTCTTGTTTTCTTCAGACACTTAAATAAAATAAGAAATTATCAGTTAATACAAACATCTTTGAAACATGATGTTCAAGTTAGACACTAGAAGGCCCTTACCTTTTCATGCAGAAAATGACTGTGTTGTAGCATTGTGTTTACCATGTTACGACAGAAAACTGTTCAATCTGCGGACCAAATGCCTTCCTCATGTAACATGGAATTCTCACTTAAATCCATGACAAACACATTTAAGTGGTGTCACGGATGTTGCCAATTATTACCTTAACAAATTTTCCAATTTACCTGGCATAACAACGAGGTGGTTGGTGACAGTCAGCATG